TCAGCCATCATTGTATAAACTATTATAACAACATGCTTTAACAAGAAAATTAACATGTGAATGTAAAGAAACCACCAATAGTGCCAATGGAATGGAGAAATACAGCCAATAATGCTTCTTATGTTTGTCAAACATGGATAGTTTTCACAGTAAATAATACAGTTCAGAATTTTACCCAGTGCAAGGTTTGTAGTATGGCAGCTGAGTGAAGTCGCTGTCTATAGCTGGAGGCTTGTAATAAAGACTAAAGAGCCCACCAATCACTACATCTCCCTCCTGGAACAGACCCTGATCGCTCAGTGTACCCCACCGGGAACAAGTCGCTGTCTGAACCACCTGCAACCCCACTCTGAGCCCCAGCTGTCTGCACACAAGCCCCACAAGGAGCAGGGATGAGCACAGCCTCAGAGCGAAGAACCAGGATAACCAAGACATGGACGGAGCCGTTCTGGGCACTTTAAATATGTACAATGTACTCAGTTAGATACTGTAGCTTCTCATTGGCAAAACATAGGTAAATAAGAGGTGTAATAAACCGTCAACAGTTCCTGAAATTTAAAAGTGGAATTTGATTAAATCCCCCTTACTGCATCCATAAGACATCCACCTGAAAATCTAAATACAATTAAATTACAAACAGATACAACTGACAACTGACAAGGTATGACATGGACCCCCCCTTCCTACTCTGCACAACATAGATGTTGTTCTGTGTATTTATAACAGTTGTAAAGCCCAGGCGGAACGACCTGGAGGGCAGTAGCAAAGGGTATTTACCTGGAGGGCAGTGGCCATGGATATCCCAATAGAGTTGCATTTTCATCTTTAACATTTAGTTGATAAATTAATCCACAGTGACTGAAATACACAGCCACACCTCTCACACCAGAGCCCTGCCTAACCACATTGGGTTTTTTTCAGTAAAGCTTCATTACGAAGACCTTTTGGGAAAGGTTTTTTAAAAGACTAGATCATTCATATTGTAAAAGAAAGTTAATATGTTGTGGATCCAAATATTAGTTTTATTTACCTCTTGTGGTATCTAGTAAAGTTTATAATAGTTATGATTTATTAGTCCAGGTTTAGAGATATCAAATCAACAGCAGAAAGTCTCTGAGACTGCACTGTGGGCTGTTTTCCTGGGGACATTTATGTTTTTGTAGAAACTAAATACAATGAAGGGCAGACACTTCTGTGTGGAGTTTGCATATTCTGCTTGTGTCAGCGTGGGTTTTCTGCAGGTTCTCCAGTTTCCTCACAGTCCGAAGACATGCAACTCAGATTAAATGAGGACTATGGTGTCAGCCCAATGACAGCCTGGCGACCTGTCCAGGGTGTACCCTGCCTTCGCACAGTGTCCGCTAGGATTGGCCTCAGCCCGCCCCCCCCC